GGAATTATTTGAGTGACCAGGTAAGATCCCTGGGGAAAACCAAGCTGCCTGCCTAACACAATGCTAAAGGACAAGCTAGTGTGCGCTAAGGATCATGTTCTAAACAGTTGAGTGTTTCACTGGGTGGGGAGAAACCTGTTTGCCACGAATGGCTCCATGGTTGATGAAGACAAGATCCTTCATGGTACATTTCTTCTCTTCATGTTTGTGGTAAAATAGTGAAAAAAAGTTTCATGGAAAAAAATAAAAAATGACACAGATAGTGAAACTTCATGCTTCGAGGCATCAGTCGATTGCTGCAAGTGTGAAGAGGAAAATTTCTCTTCACTCTACAAGATGCTGCTTTTTAGTGAAGTTTTCATTTGAGATACTGCCTCGTCCCAAGACAGGACACCAGGACCTTACCAGATCAGTGTGCCCGTGTAGCAGTCTGTATCTTTCTATAAGCTTTATAAGAGCTCCAGGTACCTTTGTTTCCTATTCCTGCCCTGCAGCGTAGGTACCCAACATCTGGCCATGCTTTCTTTCCCTCCAGGCATGTGTGTGTTTTGATTTGCTCCTGGCTTTGTAACACTCTGAGAGTCTGCCATATTATTTCCCACTGTCAGCCACGTACTGGCGAGTGGGGGAGAATCCCTGTTGTTGATTTTCCTTCAAACCTTACCCTGGATGATGCGAATCGGATGCTTTTACTGAGAGTCAGAGCATTGCGAGCCAAGAGAGGCTCGGTGTGTCTGTGAAACAGAATACTAAGTCAGCGATTCACCAGAGCAGGGTGGAGTTAGTTGAGCAATGGACCATCTGACAGCTGTTGTGGTGGGCTCATGCGAAATGAGTTGGAGGTGATGAGAATAGAAAAGAGACAGCCCGAGCCCTAGCGAGGAAGTGACTGTCTCACAGGAACCGTGACCACAGCTGGCACCCATGGGCCTCTTCTTGGCATTCTCAGCAGTCAGGCTGAATTCCTCCCTTAATCCAAAGCAGTGGTTGGTTGCTCCAGTTCAGGGATGAGGTCCACTGGCCAGGAGGAGCAGTGAGTAGAAAGCCAAAATGGTTGTTCTATGCACCCTACTGATACAGGATGCCTTCACTTAAAAAAACCAAACCCGTTACTGGTACAGAGCTGTAAGGGAAGCCAGACTACGCCCTCACTGTTTATTAGGTGGCAGTATTAACGGCACTGGGTTCCCTGCAGCCCGCTGGCCATGTCCTCCATCCTGGGAAAGATGAAGAAACTTGGCAGTTCGGATGTGGAGGACTCTGAAGTCATGGATGAGCACACAGATGGCGAGGATTCCATTCTGGGAACCCCTGACAGTCTGCATAGCATCCAGAGCATGAAGGTCCAGCAGCTGCCCAAAAGCAACATCTTCGCGAGACGAGGCCGCTTTGGGATGGGGGACAGCGATAAGAACATGGCGCCAATGGACTCCTTGTACCAGATGGAACTGATGTCTGCTCCCGTCATCAAGTTTAATATCAATGTGGAAAGGGCAAAATTACACAGTCAATTTGCCAAGTAAGTTCCTGATATAGTGGATCCATATTATTAGGGCATTACCAAATTCATGGCCGTGAAAAATGTGTCACAGACTGTGAACTTTTGTGTCTCCCCCTGAAATCTGGTCTCTTGTGTACTTTCACGTTATACTGATTTCACTAGGGAAACCAGAGTTTCCCAAATTGGGGTTCCTGACCCTACAGGGATTGTAGGGGTCACAAGGTTATTTTAAGGGGATCACAGTATTGCCATCCTCACATCTGTGCTGCCTTCAGAGCTGGGCAGCTAGAGAGTGGGGGCTGCTGATTGAGGGCCCCACCGCAATAATCTTGCAATCCCCCCACATCTCCTATTTAGGGGAGACCCAAATGACAATTTACAAAACACTGACATTTCACATTTAAGTAGCTGAAATCATGAAACTTGCAATTTTTAAAGTCCTAAGACCATGAAACTGACTGAAGTGAACCATGAATTTGGTAGAGCTATGCATGTTATGATGTGGTTTGGGGCCGCAAACTCCCAGTATTCACTCCTTGCACCACGGCGTGTGATTTACAGCATACATTTCAGGATTTCCTATGCTGAATGGGAAGTACCCCAAATACTATAGTACATTTAATGACTATTTCCCATCCTGGAGCGGTATCTCTGAATACAATCTAATCTCCAGAGGAAGTCAACAGGAGGGTATTCAGGGCAAAGCTGAGATTAAAACCCAGGCATTCTTGGCTCCCAGGGCATGATCCAGGTGTTAGAGACATAGTTGCTTCATTGGATTTGCTTGTCTGGGCCTTTATGATCTTACAAACTGAACAGTTCCATATATGTACTATTCACTAATGCGCATGCCACTGAAAGCCAGTAATGGAAGTATAATCGTCTGATTGCTTTTCAGAGGCTTGCTTAATCCTTTCATTTCAGTAACTAAATTTATCCTCGTCAGGCTCCTATCTACCAATTCTATTGCAAGCTGCTCAGAAAAAGCTTTCAAATTCTACGATCGCAGAAGGATCTTTGATGCTGTAGCCCAAGGTGACACAAGTGATTTGGATGACCTGCTGATCTATCTCCATGAGACCCTGAAGCATCTCACAGACAATGAATTCAAAGGTACCTGGTAGTGTCTGATGCATCCAAATACCGTCTCCCTCTTCCAGCTGTGATGCCGAGATTAAAAGATCAGCATGGTAGTAACTTAAATACACATTAAGACGTTGGAAAGGGCTCTGGCTCATGGAGTATCTTCCCATAGACTGGGCAGTTCTCTGTGAAGCTAGTGAAAGTGTCAGAAAAGTGTGAAAGAATGTTTGTGACACTTTGAACGTCCCTGGGTCCTTCCATCCAATCGGAAGATCCCAGATCCCTTGTGATGACTGCATGTCAGTGTGTCTGAGAGCAGGTATGTTATGCCTCGTTTTACAGCTGTAACTCTTTGTGTTACAGAGCCAGAAACTGGGAAAACCTGCTTATTGAAAGCCATGCTGAATCTGCATGATGGGAAGAATGACACCATTCCCCTGCTTCTGGAAATTGCGGAGAAAACAGGCAATCTGAAAGAGTTAATTAATGCAGAATATACCGACAACTACTACAAGGGTAAGGCAGCTGGGAGAATGTCTGGCTTTGCTTAAGCCTAAGCCTGTACAGAAAGGTTATGAATAGGCTACATGAGACTATCTGAGCTCTCAGATGTTCCTCTATATCTGACCAAAACTGAAGCTCTGATTCTGGGAAAGCAGAACCACAAACTGCTAGAGAGCCTGACTTGTAGTCGGTGCTCGTGTTCTTGAAATACCTGGCTCACACCTGCCATTTATGCCAGTGACATGCTTGGTCAATGTGGTATAATGCTCTTACCCCTCTAGAGGCATTTTGGTGGGATAGGGTTGGGGGTACATTGGCAGGGGAGCAATGAAGCCTGCATTTGCCTCCATTAACGAATAGAACATTGCTGTCTCCAGGGTTGTTCAATGTGTCCCTTTTCACCACTGCATTAGCCTCAGAAGAAGGCACCAGTAGTGTCCGACAGCTGTTTCTCGGTGTTATGTGACCTGAGAGTTCCACGGGCTGATGAGTGTTTCCCTAGGTCAGACTGCTCTCCACATTGCCATCGAGAGGAGGAATATGTACTTGGTGAAGCTCTTGGTCCAAAATGGAGCAGATGTTCATGCACGAGCCCACGGGGAGTTCTTCCGGAAAATCAAAGGGAAGCCTGGCTTTTATTTTGGTAGGGAAAACGAGGAGCATGATGCTTGATTTCATTCACTGGTCAACTTACCAAGGGACATGTTTCAAATGTGAGCTGTTCAAGTTGGCTGTTATCACTCAAGAAAGAGATCTAGGAGTCAGCGCGGCTCTGAAAATGTCCACGCAATGTGCAGTTAAAAAAGCAAACAGAATGTTGGGAGTCATTAGAAAAGGGGTAGAGAATAGGACAGAAAATATCTTAACTGCTTCTCTGTAAATTCATGGTGCATACAGGGTATGTCAACATTGCAGCATTTGGTTTTTCGAAAACAAACAAACAAACAAACAAACAAACCACCTTTGCCTTTTGAATTACATGTGTATTTTTTTATGCGTTTGTATCTTTATTAGAGGCAGCTTCTAGTGCTGCACTTGATATTTCTGTAATAATCTATTTTCAATGGGCTGCGGATGCTATAATCCAGTCTTAAAAAATTGTCCCTGCCTAAAACTTAGTGTGTGAGATCCCAGCACGAGAATTCTCTTTCTGGGGAAACTCTCCTGGCACATTCAGTCCTTTTAATCAAAATGCATAGGTCCCAGTCTACGTGCATTTCTAATCTGATAATTCTGGGTTTTTTCAACTCTCCATATGTTGGGCCCACATAACCTCAGTGTATTGATCAGCAAGGTATGAACATGTTGACTAAGGGATGAAACTCACCCATGTGACAGGTGCAGCATTTGAACCTGCTACCCTGCGTGGTTGCCCTAGCCCCTAGTCCACAGCAGAACCCACCCTACTGCTCTACCTTGAGGGCATCCCTTATCCTGCCTCCCTGGTGTCAGAGCCAGGTGCTTAATCCCATCGGAAAATATATTTTTTTACAGTGAGACTAGGATTTGGCACAGTATTTGATGGAGAACTGCTCTCCCCTATCCAGGCATGGTGGGAGGTGTGGACTTTACATTTTCCTTCCCCTTTAAGCTCATAAAGGTGACTTTTGTACATACGGTGAGTTTTCTGACCAGTGGTTCATGTTGCTTGCCATTAGGTGAACTCCCGCTTTCCTTGGCTGCCTGCACCAACCAGCTAGCCATTGTGAAATTCCTCCTGGAGAATCCGTATCATCCAGCCAATATAGCTGCCCAGGACTCCATGGGCAATATAGCTCTGCACGCCTTGGTAGAGATTGCAGATAACACCAAAGATAACACCAAATTTGTAACCAAGATGTACAACAACATTTTGATACTTGGTGCCAAAATTAACCCAATGCTGAAGCTGGAAGAGATCACTAACAAGAAGGGATTGACTCCTTTAACCCTGGCTGCAAAGAAAGGGAAGATAGGGGTAGGTGTACACATACTGTTACCATTTCAAATAACACACACTATAGTTAAACATTTACATAGGGAACATGTCATTATTTGCTGCCTGGGCTTAGCGGACCAAGAGGGTGGAAAATTGTATAGGACTTAACCCTGGAGATGGAAAAGCAAAGCTTCTTTGGCATCGTCTAGGTTATGTATCCCAAGAGAATCCTGCAGTTCCATGTCACATCTGTCAGCCTAGATGGAAACAGTAGAAGTGCTCTGGCTGCTCTCTCGGGTGGACTAGGTAGCACATTTTTGACTGGCTGTCATGGCCAACTCCGAAACATTTCCCCTTCACCAGGACAGTGGCCTCAAAGGGGTATGAAAGAGGTGTTGAGAGGCCAAAGACAGCCACAAATCTTAACTGGAGAGGCACTTTTGTGTTGCTGCATTGGCCTGTTTGCTACATTTGTATTACCCTGTTCCCCAGAACCCAGCATGATCACTGGCTGGTGGATATTGCAAGCTGTGAGCTATATAGTATCCTAATGGCTTGAGTTCTGTGAAGTTAAGCCAGGGAAGAATCAGGCCTCCTATGTCATTGAGCAACAAAAAATCTACCACAGCTGAAACGTTGATCATGTGTCCTTCTTTTTTTATTAGATTTTCGCCTACATCCTTAGACGAGAGATCAAAGAGCCTGAGTGTAGGCATCTGTCGAGAAAGTTCACTGAATGGGCCTATGGCCCCGTCCACTCATCTCTTTATGACCTGTCCTCCATCGACACCTGTGAGAGAAACTCAGTGCTTGAGATCATCGCATATAGCAGCAAAACACCAGTGAGTAAGAAACCTCCTCTACACGTTGGTTTTGGGTTCAGTGGTGAGCTGTGATGTGTGCAGTGTATCTCTCCCTTGCGCCATGGTACAGAGCAGTGATTTAGTTCTTGGCATGGGTATATTCACTGATGCTTCTTTTGCCCCCGACTTTGGAAGCTGACCCCAGGACTTTCTATTGCAAATTCTCCCCATTGGCTTGAAGCCAATAGTACAATTCATTGGAACGCTCGCTCAGACAAGTAAACGTGTTCCACAGTCATGCCACACTGCGTGTCTGTGTTGTATGTCTTTCCCTGCACTCCTTGGGGCAGGGCCCTGGGTGACAGGCCTCCTGGCTTCTGTGCACAGCTCTGTTCCTGCGTCTCTGGGCAGCTCTGGACAGATCCCTTGGCTGTAGGGATAATGACACTTCCCTGCCTGCTGAGAACTGGAGACTCTGTTTGTTGGGGGTGATGACATTTCACCCTTGGCAGGTGCGATCTCAGTGTATGTGTGTACTGGCTTCCTTCTCTCTCTCCCCACCTTTGCAGAATCGCCATGAGATGCTGCTGGTGGAGCCCCTGAACAGGCTGCTGCAGGACAAGTGGGACCGATTCGTCAAACGCCTGTTTTATTTCAACTTCTTTGTTTATACCATGCACATTGTCATACTCACCCTGGCCGCCTACTTCAGACCAGTGGAGAAAGATAAAAAGGTACTTTCCTGGTCATGCGCATCGGTGCGACCACCCCGGGTATGAATTCCCAGGCCTGCTTGCCATGTTCACAATGCTAGAAAGAATTCTGTAGAGTCTGAAACAAAATACAGGACTAGGCAGCACTTTAAAGACTAACAAGATGGTTTATTAGATGATGAGCTTCCGTGGGCCAGACCCACTTCCTCAGCTCAAATAGTGGAAGAAAATTGTCACAACCATATATACCAAAGGATACAATTAAAAAATGTATTAATTGTATCCTTTGGTATATATGGTTGTGACAATTTTCTTCCACTATTTGAGCTGAGGAAGTGGGTCTGGCCCACGGAAGCTCATCATCTAATAAACCATCTTGTTAGTCTTTAAAGTGCTGCCTAGTCCTGTATTTTGTTTCAGACTCTACAGAATTCTTCCCTCTGTCCCGAGTGATGGGGACAATAAGCGCAGGGGAGAGATTGCTCCTCCAGCCCCCTCCTTGGAGAATGGAGAAAGCTGTGCTTTTAGGGACCAATCCTAGGGGAAGCTGAGCACCTTTAGCTGCTCAGCAGATAGCAGTGTTCTCTGTAAGCCAGGCCCTTGTGCAATTTCCCAGGAGAGATTCACACGCTTTCCAGCTGATTAGCAGAGCGCCCATAGCTAGGTCTTTGGTTGCTACTGGTGGTGCACATTCGCACACTCCTCCATGCACATAAAACATGTATTCTGCACACGGACGGAGAAGATTAGAGGGAACATTGGGAGACAAGTTGTTTTCCATCTCCAGCTGAGCTGACCCTTTGCTCCTATGTTCTGCAGCCTCCCTTCAGATTTGAATACACAACCGGGGAGTATTTCCGAGTCATCGGAGAGATCCTGAGTGTGCTGGGAGGTGTCTATTTCTTTTGCAGAGGGGTAAGAGCTTTGAAATTTCTCCTTCAAGCCCCGTGGATGAGTGGGAGCCAAAAATAGGCGTCATTCCCCTGGTTTGGGCTAGTTGCTCTTAGAGTCTGTCTCTCACTTGAAAGCTAGAGCTAGTTTTTAATGGCACAGCCGGGATCTATGACATTCCTATTGAGCTACAAAGCTAAAGCGCAGTTGCCTGTCATCCTACTGTATGAGAGGAAAGTCCCTACAAAGTCTACATGTGCCTGAGCATGGATACCAGCCAAGACCAGGCTCAAGGGGGCACTGAATATAGCCAGGGCCTGCACCATTAAGAACTTAAGAGCTCTTCAGTTCCAGGTTGGAGACAAACAGCAACTGTATTGTGGCCAGCGTAAAGGACGCACCGCAAGTACAATGTGAGCACAGTTGCTCAGTGAGTGAGTGGGCTGCTGTCTCCGGCACAAGCCACAAGATCCAATCTAGCCCTGCCCTGAGGGGATAACCGGAATTAAGGCCTGTGCTTCCTGGACTGCATGTTGCATTAAGAGGTCCTTGTGGACTAACTTGGGCTGAGCTGTTTTCCAGCTTGGACCCGACTCAGCAGACCTCCCCGGCACTTAGGGGCAGCGGTGGCAGCAGCGGCAGCATTTTCAAACCGTTTGACCGAGATAACAGCCAGGACTTAGATACTCTCCTGTCCCCAGTGGCACCGTCAGCCTTATGCTGCTGAAGCCCTCTGCCCTCTCCAGTTAGAAGGCTGCTCTGCAGTGCGGTGCCCTGAAAGGCTGGCAGTTCAGTGGTCAGAGGCGTGCCAGAGACAGCCCCCTCGAGGACGGCACAGGGAGTTGTGGCTGGTCCTGCTGACCCTCTGCAAGGCAGTAAAACAGCAGCGGGTTGGCAAAACGGGAGTGTGGGACGCTTGGGAGTTAAAGGGTCCCCTTGGCAGCTGCACAGCAGAAATGTCCTTGGGACCTGAAACTGGCCTTTCGTCTCCCTTTTTTGCAGATCCAATATTTCCTGCAGAGGCGGCCGTCCTTAAAGACTCTGCTAGCTGACAGTTACAGTGAGGTTCTTTTGTAAGCTTCTCAGCAACTTCTTGCTCTGTGTTTGAATGGGGCTTTTAGGAAGCTACGGGACTCATGGTCTCAAGCCAGGCATCACATGTCCAGGCTTTGCAATAAGCATAGTGAGCACAGGGCTTTCCATCCCTAGTTCTCCTGGCACTTTGCATGGGGGGAAAGGGAGACTCCAGGTTATCACCGGGTGGAGAAAGTGAGTGCTGAGAGGTTAACTGTCTGGTCCCAGGAATAGCTCCAGGACTCCCGACTTACAGCCCGATGCTCTGTGCACAGGCCCTCTCCTGTCCCCAGTGGCACCTTCAGCCTTATGCTGCTGGAGCCTTCTGCCCTCTCCAGTTAGAAGGCTGCTCTGCAGTGCGGTGCCCTGAAAGGCTGGCAGTTCAGTGGTCAGAGGCGTGCCAGAGACAGCCCCCTCGAGGACGGCACAGGGAGTTGTGGCTGGTCCTGCTGACCCTCTGCAAGGCAGTAAAACAGCAGCGGGTTGGCAAAACGGGAGTGTGGGACGCTTGGGAGTTAAAGGGAAAGGAACGGAGTGGGGTGGAGAAGAGAAGTGCGGAGGAAAGGGAAGGAGTCTCTCAAGGGATGGAGGCTGGCCTAGGAAAACATGTCTACCTGGGTTCTTATGAGCTGATGCCACTGCGTATGTCTTCCCTCCTTTCTTGCCTGCCTGGGAGGATCTGCACCCTATGCTTGGCCCACGCTTGTCTTTCAGCTTTGTCCACTCCCTGTTCACTTCTGTGGCCAGGAGCTCTACGTGGCATTCATGGTGTTTTCCTTGGCACTGGGCTGGGCTAACATGCTGTACTACACCCGAGGCTTCCAGCAGATGGGAATTTACTCTGTCATGATTGAGAAGGTCAGTCTAGGGAGCAGCTGCAAGCTCTGCTGAATTTGCCCAGGCCTGAGAGGTGCCACCACTGGCTCACCCCATGGTTTAAACCAGGGAAAGCCGATTTATTTTCAACTTGGGGGATAATCTACCTCACTGCTCCCAGGGAGTTTGAAAAGGCGCATGCCCGTAACTCTCCTCTCCTCCATTATTTTCAGACCTTCTCTGCAATGAAATCAGACCTCTTCATGTGGTCTGACCAACCAGCCCATAGAGGGGGACACAAAGCCACATTGTCTTAACTTGGTTCACATGAAAGGTTGGCATGTGATATATTTGGCATGAGATAGATTACATATGGATGAAAGAGGCTTTAGGAATAATGCTAAGGGTTTGGTTGCCTATATTGACAAGGAAACTTGGTCATGGCGTAAGACAAGGGCACTGAATTCACACTGTAGGGTGCCTTCCTGGAGCCAGACCTGGACTTTCCACCACTCTTGGGTGTAGCTTGTGTTACATTCTTATGAAATGTTCTGTTTCAGATGATCCTGAGGGATTTATGTCGCTTCATGTTTGTCTACCTAGTATTTCTCTTTGGATTTTCCACAGGTAATAACACCCCGGGGGTTATTTATTCCTGTTTCTTTCTTAGAGAATCACGTTTAGCAAAAATCACCTTTTCAGTTAATTTAGAATTCCCTTTATCAACTAAAAACCTAAGAAATCTACATCATGTCCCGGAACAGAATCTCTAGTGCACAAAAAATACAACTTAGCATTTATGTGGGGCTTTTTACCCATAGATCTCAAAGTGGCTGCCCAAGCAGCATTGTTCCCATTTTACAGATGGAGAAACTAGGGGTATGTCTACACTACCCCGCTAGTTCGAACTAGCACGAGGTGTACCGGTAGATCGGAATAGGAATAGGAATAGGAATCCTAGTCCGAACTACCTAGTTCGAGCCCCGTGTAGCCGCGCGCTAGTTCGAACTAGCGGGGTAGTGTAGACATACCCTAGGATACTACATTTTCAAGGAACCTCTGATTTTGGATCTCTCCATGTTCAGTGCCCAACTTCAGAATCTTGGAGACTGATTTTTCAGCATTCCTGACTTCCCACAACTCTGCCTGCAGTTAGTGGCCATCACGATATTATATCTAATCAGATTCCTTTTGGCAAGTTTCTCAGTGTTTGCAAAATGAGCATGGTCTCTGAGTATTTTTTTCTTGTGTACATTTGCAACAGCTGTGGTGACTCTGATTGAAGATGACAATGAGGGACAAGAAAATGAGACTTCTCCCTGCTCCCGAGGAAGCCAGGTGAAGCGTGGCTGCTTGTCGTACAATAATCTGTATTACACCTGCCTGGAGCTGTTCAAGTTCACCATCGGCATGGGAGATCTAGAGTTCACTGAAAACTACAGGTTCAAGTCTGTCTTCGTCATCTTGTTGGTCCTCTATGTCATCCTCACCTACATTCTGCTGCTCAACATGCTGATTGCGCTGATGGGGGAAACTGTGAACAAGATCGCACAAGAGAGCAAGAGCATCTGGAAGCTCCAGGTTTGTCGATCACCCAGAATTCTGGTCTTCTTTTTGGAAATGGAAAGAGAACTTAGGGGAGAAGAGCTGTGAGGGGAATCAGGAGGGACTGGCATGTTTCTAAACTTGCAGATCTTCATGGCTTTGTATCTCCTGATTCCTTGTGCATGAGTACAAGCCTTTAGGACTGTCCTTGGCCCCTTTCCTCATTTAGTGTATGATGCGCTGTTTAAGTAGATGTTCTCAATAGGCACCAAATAGTTCACAGATGTTTGCAGTTTAAGAAAATATTTTTATCATCAGACAATAACAGGCTCAAAATCAGGAGGGCTACGTCTAGACTGGCATGATTTTCCGGAAATGCTTTTAACGGAAACGTTTTCCATTAAAAGCATTTTCGGAAAAGAGCGTCTAGATTGGCACGGACGCTTTTTCGCAAAAGCACTTTTTGCGGAAAAGCGTCCGTGGCCAATCTTGACGCGCTTTTGCGAAAAAAAACCGCGATCGCCATTTTCGTGATTGGGGCTTTTTTGCGCAAAACAAATCTGAGCTGTCTACACTGGCCCTTTTGCACAAAAGTTTTGCGCAAAAGGGACTTTTGCCCGAACGGGAGCAGCATAGTATTTCCGCAAGAAGCACTGATTTCTTATAGTAGGAAGTCAGTGCTTTTGTGGTAATTCAAGTGGCCAGTGTAGACAGCTGGCAAGTTTTTCCGGAAAAGCGACTGATTTTCTGGAAAAACTGGCCAGTCTAGACATAGCCAAGGTGTTTAGGCTCTTGACAATGGAAAGCCATGATCAGACTCTGAAAAGACATTCTGCATTGGAAGAAAGCAAATGCCTTCTGCCAGGCTTGCAGGCACTGCCATGTCAGCTTTTGTGTAAGAAAAGAAACCCTGTAGTTTAACTGCATAGCAGTAATCGTCCATCATTTTAAAAAGCAAACTTGTAGAGAAATTGTGTATCTTGTGGGTGGTGTGATCATTGCCCTACGCTGGGAATGCAGGTGAACCTTTGGGGATTTTTGTTTTATAAAGATAGGAATTGCCTTCTGTATAAATAGAGTTAAACACAGCTGTTCCCCATTCCCCTTGCTTTTTTCAATTGGTAGCGAGCCATTACCATCTTGAATATCGAAAATAGCTACCTGAACTGCATGATAAGCTCATTCCGATCTGGGAAGCGAGTCTTAGTGGGAACCACACCTGATGACAAGGATGACTATAGATGGTGTTTCAGGTAACCTGGTTTTAGCTTCAGTAGATACATCTTGACAGGCCTGGTAATTGGATGTGGGGCTCTGAAACTGGGTGACCAAAAATTGCACTAAGTGATGGCAGTTCAGTGGCCTGGGTGAAACGGGTTCTTAGTCGGATTCACAGCAGACTGGGTCCAGGCTGCTGGGTCTGCGATGCCACAACGCCAAGGAGAACTTCTATATTATACTAGCAGCATTGTGTCCTGTTTAATACTGAAGACTAGCACTTTTCAGCTTGGAAAAGAAGAGACTAAGGGGGATATTATAGAGGTCTATAAAATCATGAGTGGTTTGGAGAAAGTGAATAAGGAAAAGTTATTTATTTGTTTCCATAATATAAGAACTAGGGGTCACCAAATGAAATTAATGGGCAGCAGGTTTAAAACAAATAAAAGGAAGTTCTTCACTCAGCGCACAGTCAACCTGTGGAACTCCTTGCCTGAGGAGGTTGTGAAGACTAGGACTATAACAGGGTTTAAAAGAGAACTAGATAAATTCATGGAGGTTAAGTCCATTAATGGCTATTAGCCAGGATGGGTAAGGAGTGGTGTCCATAGCATCTATCATTGCTGTCAGACTCGAGAAAACTCATAGCTCAGTTATGAGCAGATATATTGCAGCTGAGCTTTTCCTTTCCACGTTGCTTTACTTCTTGGGCCCTCATGATGCAAATTTCTCAGTGAGGAGAATCCTGCCTGAGCGTAGAGGATGAGTATCTGACTTGTGCAGCGGGAATGTCTATGACATTCCCTTGGCAAACCATGAAGTGTTGGCAGAACTGCGAGCTGGTGAGAGTCTGAACTCTTCCTTGGCCAGTGGATCTGCATACTCATGGATTCCCAAGCTCACGGCCACCCCCTTTGCCCTGGGACTCAAGGACAGTGTGTAACTGGGGGGATCCTTCGCTGTTTCTCTGCATCACATGAGATGACTTTGAGCCGGGAGGGTGCCTGCTCAGGAAACAGTACTGAATTCGCTGTGTGAAATTGCCGCTCTCCATCACGCTGAGAGTGACCTTTTGCAAATATCCAGTAGATGGAGAATTGTATTTGGGATATTAAGGACCTTAATATAGAGCATTAACCCACAGGGAGCTTTAATCCGTCAGGAAGATTAGGCCAGCAGCATTCTGCAATACTTTACTGCACAAAAATTCCAGGGTCATTGCTGTGAACTTTGAGTACTTCAGGACTAGTACTTACGGTTCTACGTGGGACTTGTCCCCACAGAGAACTGGTTGAGTAAGCAAGTGATACCATGAGTGCCTTGAGACTCTAGATCCCTTTCTGCAGAATAGATGAGATCCCCTTTTCAAGCTGAAATCCCTCTTGTTGTTCTCTCTCCAGAGTCGATGAGGTGAACTGGTCCACGTGGAACACTAACCTGGGCATAATCAACGAGGAGCCTGGGTACAGCACGGGCTTGAAGCGAAACTTGAGTTTTTCTTTTAAGTCTAGCAGAGGTGAGGAATCCAGGCATGTGGACACGCTGGTTCTACCCATAGTCAGATATTAGATTATACATTTGGGTTATCGAGGTAGTGCAATTTATACATTTCTCAGGGAGACTTCAAAAGCTACATGGACAGTCGCAGAATGAATACAGTGAGCAAAAGAATTAAAATGAACTAGCCCCTTATTCATTGTCCACTTTGATTCCTTGGAACATGCTAGCTCCCTCAGATTCCTCACTCTGGATGTTTGGATGGTGTGTAAGGAGAGGCACTTCTTGGTGATGGCAGCAGAATACCATGGGAGTTGCCCTTAGAGGGCCCCGACCCCCCAACATAGTAGCCCACTAGCCAGTGCAGAAAAACCCAACTCATACATCAGTGGGCATACTTGTCAGCTTAAAAGAATGGGAAACTAACAGAAAAATAAAACTCATAGGCTGTGTCTAGACTGGCAAGTTTTTCCACAAAATTATCTGCTTTTGCGGAAAAACTTGTCAGCTGTCTACACTGGCCGCTTGAATTTCCGGAAAAGCACTAACGATCTCATGTAAGATTGTTAGTGCTTTTCCGGAAATACTATGCTGCTCCCGTTCAGGCAAAAAGGCCAGTGTAGACAGCACAGTACTATTTTCCGCAAAAAAGCCCCGATCGCGAAAATGGTGATCGGGGCTTTTTTGCAGAAAAGCGTCCGTGGCCAATCTAGACGCGCTTTTCCGAAAATGCTTTTAATGGAAAACTTTTCCATTAAAAGCATTTACGGAAAATCATGCCAGTATAGACGTAGCCAAAAAGCAGAAGTAGAGAATTTATTCTATTAAGTTTACACCAGCTTCCTTCTGTGTTGGCAACCAGGAATGTTCTAGTCTGTTTCTATAGGAGAAAAACAATAACAGCCACTTTTCTGAAAAGTTTCAGGGAAAAACTGGAAGACCTTGGTTCCACTTTTGAGAGATGGGAGCAGGCGAGAAGTGGCACAGAAACAGCCAGAAGAAGCCAAGTTAAAACCCATTTTGGAACGCGATTGTGAGCCTGAAGCCTCTGAGGAAAGGAAGGATTCACTTCCGAAGTCGGCGTAGATTTTTATTGTTGTATTTTGTTCTTAAGAAGGTGGCTAAGTATAATTGTTTTTAAGTGTATTGCCTGTATTCACAGACCATGGATTCGGAGTCCTTTATGTGAACAGGGCATTGTGGCTAAAGGACAGAGGACGTTACTGTATGTAATGACTTGTAATGACTTAAACATGCTGAGTGAACAGTGTGTTGGGTTAAGGCCATGTTTCCATGGTTATTTCCAACATGTCTGCCAAAAATTGGTCATTAAGTCTCTGTGATTCGTTAGCTATTAACTTCCAGATCAACATCTGAAGGCTCCTTTGAATTTTCTACGGTACTTCACACAGGCTGGTTAAAAGCAGGAAATAAAGTAAGTATTTTTGCCCACACGGAGTTTTCCTCATCTCCCAGTGGAAAAACTACAAATGGCCTAGACGAGGGATCGGCAACCTTTCAGAAGTGGCATTCCAAGATTGAACTTATTTGTGGATCTGTGCGCCAGAGGAGAGGGCTGGGGGCAGGGGCAGGCTGCATACAGTGACCATATTTTCTGAACCAGCTGCAGCTAGGGAGAATGGTTTAATTTAAATTATTAAACAGATTAAATGTTTTAACTTTCTCATGTTAGTTTATCAAACTTCATTTTAAATAAAGTAAAGTATTACATCTGACACAAAAGGTTCCGATGTTTTCTTTATTTATGGCAGGGGTTGGGAACCTTTTTTTGGTCGGGGGGTCACTGACGCACAGAAAAATCAGTTGAGGACCACATGAGTGAGAAGCAAAAAAATTCCTCCAAAAAAAACCCAACCCTCACTGATGTGGCCCCCAACTGAGACACCTCACTGCTATGGTGCTCCAGCCCCACAGAGCGAGGGGAAGGGATAGAGAAGACTGAGTTTTAGGCTTTCCCATAGGCCAGATTTACTTTTCTGAGGTGCCAGAGTTAGTGGATTTTAGGGACCCCTTAGACAAGTGGTCTCCAACCTTTTTACACCCAAGATCACTTTTTAAATGATAGAACAAGCCAAGATCTACTGCCCCGCCCCTTCCTTGAAGCCCCGCCCTCTCTATTCTCCTCCTCTCCATCACTTGCTATCCCCAACCCTTATACTGCTGCTTTTTTCCCCAATTCTTCTGTAGGAAGAGGTTTTTTCCAACATTTGGCCTGTCTAGACTGGAACCAATGTGAGAAAACCCCTTCTTTTGGAAGCCCCCTTATTCCTCGTGGAAAGAGGAACGTAGGGGTGACCAAAAGAGCCTGTTTGCTCTTCCATTAAAAAAAGTGGAAGAACAAACGAACGTAGACAGCTGGCAAGTTTTTCCACAAAAGCAGCTGCCAGTCTAGACGCAGCCCTACAGACTAGCGGTACCCTTGCTGGGTTGAAACAGGATGTGTAGGCTCTGGGGTGGGAATGAGGGATTTGGGTGTGGGAAGGGGTGAGAGGTGCAAGCTCTGGGAGGAAATCTGGATGCAGGAAGAGGTAGAGAAGGGGACACTGGCTCGGGGAGGGGGTTCCAGGCTGGACAGTGTTGAGGTACTAAGCAAGCTACAGGCTTGTGGATGTGAGGGTTCAGGAATTTGGTTTGGGGTATGTGAGGGGCTCAGGGCAGGGGGTTCCAGTGTATGAGAGGTTCAGATCTAGGACAAAGGTGGGTGCAGGAATGTTGTCATGCTGTGACCAGATGGGGGCTTGGCCTCAATTGGGGGTTTGTCAGCCAGGCTTCATTTTTAAATAAAATACTGTGTCAAACACAGACAATTTCTGCATTGTCTTTATGAGAAGGGCGGGGACCTGTTTTGAGTCAGGGGGGCACTGACCCACAGAAAAGTCAGTTGGAGCCACACAAGTGAGCTGCAAAAAAACCCAAAAAACCCTCCTCCAACCCCCCCTCCCCGCAGAGAAGGGACGTCCCAGCGCACGCCTCTTGGGACTCACCCGCTAAGTTCCCAGCATGCCACAGACCTGGAGCCAGGAAGCAGCCAGTGCATTTCCGGAACCCCCGGAAGTGACATGCAGCTGCAGAACTTCCATCCACCCCATGGGCAGCTCCACTGTCACTCGAGGTAGGTAGGGGGACTTCTGGGGGGTGGGGGGAAATGAGGTGCCTGGAATGCCTCGCAATCAATTGGTCGAGACCTTGCGATTGACCAGTCGATCGTGATCAACTGGTTGGTGACCACAGCCTTAGGCTCTGGTGTGAGGCCGAAAATGAGGAGTTCAGTGTGCAAGACAGGGCTGCCATCAAGTGGGATAGGGATGGGGTGCAGGATCTGGGAGGGAGGTGGTGTGCAGAAGAGGGAGAGGTTGGGAGGTAGGGTGCAGAAGCAGGCTGGGAGCAGAGGGTGCAGGAGCAAGTGAGGGTGTCAGAGCAAGCTGGGGGTGTGAGGTCTTGTCGGGATAAGGGGGGTGAGTGAGGGAATTGAGTGTGGGGGTTTGGGCATGGGGGGATGCTTACCTGGCTTTGCACCCCCTTGCAGCCACGGCCATGGCCACAAGGTCCAGGGCTGCCCTTACGGCCACATGGTCCGAGAGAAAGCACAGCGAAGTGCTCAGAGATCTCAGGTGCTGAGGCGCTTTGCATGAGAGCAGCGGAAGGTGGAACTTAGAGACTCTGACAGGGGAAAGTCAGAGCTAGAGCTGGGATGCTGCCGAATCTCCTTCAGGGGCCAGTGCTTCTCGGGGCACTTACTGGGGTGCCCGGCGCGACACTCCCAGAGTTTGGGGTTCCCACTGCCCTGCATTTTTCTGAAACCCCCACAGGAAGGGAGCCCCCTTGCAAAGGGCGCACTGTAAGGCAGAAGCACCAGCGCCAGTTGTGCACCAGGTGCGCGGGTCCAGACAGGGGCAGGAGGGTGAGGGGGCCCCGGCCCCTCACAGGCACCGTGCAAGGGAGGCAAGGCATAAGCCAGGGCTTCACAGTCTGGGCCCCTTCAGCCCAGCGACGCTGCGACCCCGGCCAGGCAGTGGCTGCCCGCAGGCGACACCCAGGTCCAGCGGGGGAAGGGGAGGCAAGCCTGGGCCAGGGTGGGGTGGGGGCGCAGCCCCTCTGAGGTGGGGCTCGGGGACAGGAGCCCCCCCAGAGCCAGCCGAGACGCAAGCTAACCTGGGCAGAGGCACTTTTGGGGGCCCGGCTGGGGGT